TCATTTAGGTCATTAGAGGTCGTAAGAGGTCATTAGAAGGTCAAACACTGGATTTTTTGCTGCTACTGTATTCCCTGGGTCCCTAGCTTTCGTTTGATGTGCATAAAGCCATAGTTGAAATATTTTCTATTTCTGGAGGTCATTAGAGGTCATTAGAGGTCATTAGAGGTCATTAAAATTCAATTTGATTTTATTTTATGAATTTCGATCACTAATTAGGCGTGCACCCAAAAAATTGGAAGATTTGAACCAAAAATGAAGGCAGGGCCCCCCCCCCCCTACATCAAATGTGCCAACTCCACCATCCCCTTTTAGAAAGATAATATTTCTATTAATTAAGACCATGAATATTGTCTCAACTTCTAAAATATATAAAATAGAACTACCTCTTGCATTTCTGTATACTTCTCACTTTGGGCAAACTCTTTTCCACTTCTTTTCACCTCAGTAATCTTGAACTCTAGGTCTTGAAGTCTATCCGATCCTTCCTGTAATACTTTCTCCGACTCCGTTCTCGACAGTTTCAGGCATTCAAGTTTCACAATCAGTTTTTCATACTTCTCACACTCGATTTCATACATCTTGTCTTCCTCTGCAGGGAGGGAGGCTGCTAGCTCCTTCTCCAGTTCCAGGTTCAATTCTATCATCCGTTCCTTGAGACTATTTACTGCTTGTTCCTTGTTCTCCAGTTGAGAAACTAATTCCTCGGTTCTAGATCTGGAACTAGCTGCAGTTTCTCCAGCTCTTCTATTATCCTCCTCAAATCCTGATAATCGTGTATTCTCCTCCTTAACCTTTTTCTCAGAGCTCATCAACTCATCATCGCAGACAATAAGTTCTTCTCGGATTTTTTCTATTTCGCCCGAGATGTTCTTTAACTTTTCGTTTTCAGATTCCAGACAGGATGCTTCAACGTTAAGAGCTTCGTTCCACTTCTCAACTTCAAGTTCCATCTCTTTCATCTGTGTTTCGTAGTGAAGTAAAGCGGCATCAAGCTCCTTGTTAAGAGAATCCTGATCAGATTCATTCTGGTTCTTCATCTCAGTTAGAGAACTCTGTTCAGATTTACGTTCTTCTAATCCTGTCTCGGCTCCAGATAACTTAATAAAATAGAAAGTAGAGAAAGTTTGTCTGTTAAACATGAATTTCAATCTTTTAAAAATATTATGAACAATTTTAACAATAAGAGTATTTCTTAGGTCATTCTGCACTCCCTCTTTCCCGGCCCCTCTACTGAGCTGGGAACTTTTGTGTTCAATAATCATAATCCCGATGGCTTGATCTCGATATCCACTATGGGCACTTTTGATTTGATAATCTAATACAAACTTTTTCGTCCCATATTTTTTATTTTAGCTGATCAAAGCACCAATAAGCCACTGACTGGGCACGATTACCATGTGGGATATCATATGAAGATTAAATTAATCTGCAGATTAACAAAAAAATCGAGATCAAGTGTTGATATTGATCTCCACAATACAAGAGTTCCCGGCTCTGAAAACTGTTCACCTCATCTATCCTGAGTGGGAGCTGGTTGTTGAGGATCTCTGTATTCTCTGTAATATCCTTTAACTGCTCCTGAAGCTGAACCACCTGAACTCTGTGCTCCTCCTCCTTCTCTAAACTACAACCTGAAGTGTTCTCCAGAGCCTAAAAGTATTTACAGTAAGAACCAGAAAATGAACTTGGGACGCAGAAATTGTGCAGTGTAATCAGGACATTTAAAAAAAAGCTATTTAATAAGTTACTAATAAACAATTAGCAATTTAATTACATGAAATGCACTTAAGTGTTGCTTTAATGTCGTCTTGCTATTTCACAGTTTTATGGGTCTCGCTGTAGACATAGAACAATCATTAGTTTGGTGAATTAATTACCGAAAGTCTATTTTTAAATCATTAACAATCCATCTTTTCACATTTAAAACATATATAATATATATAATAATAATAATCTATGCATTAATTTTGAGTTGTATGTTTTAGCAGTTCGGTTTGTAACAAAACATGTCAAATACAAAACATATTAAAAACAAACACAACACAAAACATTGTCGACACAAAATTTATAGGAAATCAAACCTTTCAAAAACGGGAATGCAGCATTAATTTTATTTGAATTAATCAAATTAATTTAAATTAATATTTTTTTCCTTGGAACAAAATTTATTTTGTCCAAATCTTGTTTGGGTAATAAGTTGATAAAAATTACCTGTTTGGTTCCAGCATGTTGGGATTCCAGACTGGATAGTTTCTCCTGGTAGGTTGCCTGGGATCGGAGCAGTTCTGCTTCTAGCTCCAGGATCCTACTGTTTAATCCAACAATCTCCAACTCTACTTTAGCAAGATGAGTTATCTCAGCAGCAAGGGAAGCATTCCTAATAAATCAATTAGAAGTTCAGCTAGGGAAACATTCCTAATAAATAAATTAGAAGTTGAAAATTATAGATTTAAAACCTTCACAAAAAGTCAAATTCTGAAATAACTTTAAATGCTACAACTCTAAGGACAAAAAATATTAAAAATTAGCTTTTGTTTAATATAACTTTCATAAGGAAACAAAATATTTTTCCGATGACTGAGAAAAAGGATAAACACAGACAATACCCAAACAATCCACAAAGAAAGGTAAATCTATTTTCGCAGAAAGAAAAATAGCCAAAATAGAAAGATTAACAGTAAACTTTAGACTTTATTTCTATTCACAAAGAAACTGAGATCTTTTGATATTTTATTTTTCCAATCCTTAAAGTTTTGCAATCTATAATTGTAAAGACTTTTGATATTTCGAACTATACATTCTGCTAGATCAAAAAGTCCGAGTTTGAAATATCAAAAGGATATACCATTGGGCTGCTTATATATATAACGATTTAATAACTATTATAACGATTTAATAACTATAAATTGCGAATATTGTTGACTTATTTTCTAACCTTTCTTCTGATACTGAAATATCATCGTTTTTCATTTTTAAATCCAGCTTTAGATTACTCAGCTCCTTCATCCTCAGGTTTAAGGTTGAGTTCGTCTTCATCTCCTTTTTTAGATCATTCTCCAGCTCTGTAATCCTATCCTGAAGATCAGTTTGAACAGATTTTATCTTCTCCTGTTCAAGCTCAATCGTCATCTTCTCTTGTCTAACAACGGATTGTTTATCCAAGATTTCTCCAATTTTAGATTTAAGTTTCTCAAGCTTCTCCTGTCCGTGAGCCCTGCTCTTCTCCAAGTGTGACTTCTGAATGTTAAGCTGACCTATTTCTGCATTTAGCAAGGATATTTTTGCAGATATCTTCTCTTTCTCTAGATTCTTGGACTCTCCAACCTCTCTAATCTCAGCATTGATCTTATCTATCTCCTCATCACGCGCTTGGATCACAGTCTGGGTCTTCTTTACATCCTCGTTCTTGGTTTGAAGAAGCTCCTCAAGCTCTGTGAGCCTAGTCTCCATGTCAAGGATTGATTTCTCCAGGTAGATCAGATCTTGCTCAAGACTTCTTACCACGAATACTATCTCCTCTTCTAGTTCTCGGCACTTCCTCTCTCCCGCCTCAAGCTTAAATAAAATAAAAAACTATTATTTGAAATTGAATTAATGGGACTGTTAATTTTGATTCACCCTTTATGCAACAAGTTTTTGTGACTAGCAATACCCACGTTTTTTTCAAAATCGAATCATGAAATTCCACGTAAAGATGTTGACAATTAGTTAATTTTTTTATGTTAGGTCTCTATGTTCTCAACTAAGCTCAATAATTAATCTAATGATGATAGTTGTAATGATAATACATTTAAATTCCCAAATTCAGAATGTATTCTAAAGGAATTGAGTTTTTGCCACAAAATGTAATTTTCTAATTCCTATATTTTTGTATTTTGCTACAAAAATATAGGGATTAAAAATTTGAGTTTGTGGCAAAAACTTCAATTGCTTTGTCTCAATAAGTAAATACAAATTGACTTTATTGTTTACCATTGAACTGTGCTTTTCAGACATCTCTTCCAACTTAGCTCTCATCATGGTCAAATAAGCTTTCTTCTCTTTAATACTTTGATCCAGTATATCTATGGACCTCTGGATAGAGTTGGTGTGAGATTTGAGAACCTGAACCTGAACGGAGGTTCCCCTGACAGCCTCCTTAGTAAGGTTTATCCTGTCCTCGACTTCCTGCTTCTCCTGCTCCAGGTTTCTTACGTTGGTGAGGAGCTGGTCGGTTTCCTTCATCAGGGTCAGGATCTCAAGCTTCTGACTTTCAGATAATTCTAAAAATAAAGAAATAAAAATTAAATTTCCATTTTAGAAGTATTTAAAATCTATTTGGTATCAAGAAATCAATATGATACATTTTTAAAAAGGGTTATTTAAAGGAACTGATTATATACCACAAGCTCTAATTTGCTAATGTTTGATATCTAATGGTGTAAACATTTGATATTTCAAACATCGACTAATTTATGATTTGAAAATTCAAAAGTCTATATCAGGTTGCAAAGATCTAAGGATAAAACTCAAAGCTCTTTAAAAGTGTAACAGATCTTGACATGTGATAATCACGCTAAGGTGCGCCCTTATGGAGTGGTAACAAAGCGCTGATTATACAAGAAGATGCTACAAAAAATCGCCAGTTACAAAATGTCGAATAAGCCCCTCACCCCCTCTCCGCTCTAATCACAACACCAAAAATAATTTATTTTTTTGATCTGGATGCCCAAGGTAAGGGGGGGGGGGGGTGATAATCACATTAAGCTGTCCTAATCATAAATCAGAAGAATTTCTAATTTTTATCTGGAAGACGAGATGAGGATTCTAAACCCCTCACTGCCTACCTGTGGCTTCACTTAGCTTCCTGTCCTTATCCTGAATCCCTCTGCGTGTTTCCAAACTCCATCTAAACCAAATATATTAACATCATCATTCTGGCTTCCTGGATCTAAATCAAATAATTTTCCTAACAAAAATACCTCGTTTGACAAAATCTGCACTTCATACACGTATTATCTTTAGGTAAATTCCTATGAGGAAATACAGGATCCCCGGGGTAGTGATGGAAGATAATTTGTTCCACTTTTTACAAACTTTTAAATTCTTGGACTTCGTTTTAAAAATTTTAAATTGTTTATTCTGAACATTTGCTTTACACCCACATGCAAATGTAACCCTGATAGGAGAAATATACAAAAACAACGATAGTTTTTGGTTCGGGTTTCCCTTATATTTTATTTAGGATGACAATTTTGCACAGTTTAATAAAAGCAAACTTAATACAGTTTTGCAAAGGTTTAACCCATTACTGCCACGGGGGCGGGGGCACTGGCCCCCCTTTGAATTCCTGGAGCAACGTTGAGTTTGCCCTATTCTAAGGGATATTTTCCCTATAAGAGAATAATATTAGAGGCTAAATCAAATGAATTTGAATTTAAATACCTGCGTAGTAGTTCAGTTTCCTGTTTAAAGGATTTCACCACAGGTTGCATTGCCCCCGCCATCATTTAGTGTCTGATAATAAACATTATACAATATATAATATACATAGAATTTACATAGAATAATTTACAATCAAACTTTAAAATGTTTACAAAAAAATACATAACACTTATTTTTTAAATTCGTTTGTAATATCACACAGTAATGATTTTTAATATCTGTAACAATATAAATTTTCTTAGCATTAAAAAGAATAAAACCATTTTTAATTCATATTATACATTGTTAGTTTCCAACTAAATTTTCAGTTAATCTCACAAAAAAACATTTTTACATAATAAATATCAAAGAGACATTTTAACTAAAAACTAAAAAGATAAGGCCATGAAAGTTATTTACTGGCGAATGTGCCAGGGTTGTGACGGAAAAATATTTCTTAATCCTTAAGATTCAGAATTCTTATTTTGGTGGTTTATTGACACGCTTTCTTTTAGGTGTATGCGCTACAGGCATGGATTGGAGATGATTTCCTCCTTGAATTCCTCTGGTTGTGGTTGGTACTCCACCCGGTCCTCCCTGATCACCTTCCCCTGCTCCTATATGAGGTACACGTCCACCATTGCTGGCTAGTTGGTCGTTCATTTCCCAAACTCTAGTTTTCTCTCCAGACTAAAATAATAACATAGAGTCAATAATGATTACATAACTTTATTCTAAAAGTATGAAAAAATTATTCTTCCATTATGTTAACAAGTTTTGCAAGAGTCTATGTGAGTTAAATATGCAAACTTTCTATCTATTTTACTATTTTATTTGACATAACAAAATATTTTTTTTATGCCAAACATAAGTATTAATTGTTTTTGAGGAGGACAGAGAAACAATTTTTAAAGAAAACTGCAAGAGAGAGTCATTTGTAATCATCCCGATAGCTTGATCTCGATATCCACTATATGGACACTTTTAATTTGAGAAAATGCTTTATCTCTTGATTTCAGTTATTCCTCCAGGGTACGATTACCATGCGGAATATCGTATAAAGAGTAAATTAATCTGCAGATTAACAAAAGATCAAGATCAAGTATTGATCTCGATATCCACAATTCAAGAGATCCCAGCTATGTTTATTTAGTGTACCTGATCAAATGGTACTAGAGGAACTTAAAAATACCCCAAGTTTATATACTGTACCTGGTCCAATGGTACTAGAGGAACTAGAGACCCCAAGTTTATATACTGTACCTGGTCCAAGGGTACTAGAGTAACTAGACACCCTAAGTTATATATACTGTACCTGGTCCAAGGGTACTAGAGGAACAAGACACCCCAAACTAATATACTGTACCTGGTCCATGGGTCCTAGAGGAACTAGACACCCTAAGTTATATACTGTACCTGGTCCAAGGGTACAAGAGGAACAAGACACCCCAAACTAATATACTGTACCTGGTCCAAGGGTACAAGAGGAACTAGAGACCCCAAGTTTATATACTGTACCTGGTCCAAGGGTACTAGAGGAACGAGACACCCCAAACTAATATACTGTACCTGGTCCAGGGGTCCTAGAGGAACTAGACACCCTAAGTTAAATACTGTACCTGGTCCAGGGGTACTAAAAGAACTCGAGACCCCAAGTTATATACTGTACCTAGTCCAGGGGTACTAGAGGAACTAGAGACCCCAAGTTATATACTGTACCTGGTCCAGGGGTACTAGAGGAACTAGAGATCCCAAGTTTATATACTGTACCTGGTCCAAGGGAACTAGAGACCCCAAGTTCATAAACTGTACCTGGTCCAGGGGTACTAGAGAAACTAGAGACCCCAAGTTCATAAACTGTACCTGGTACAGGGGTACTAGAGAAACTAGAGACCCCAAGTTCATAAACTGTACCTGGTCCAGGGATACTAGAAACCCCAAGTTTATGTCTCCAACTCCAAATTTAGGGAAGAAGGAAGGAGTTCCTTTACTCAGGGTATTCTGATAACATAATATAAATACGAACTTATCTAAGTAACAAATGAGATAAAAGAATAACAAAAAATGTTTGAATATTTCTGTTGTTACAAATAAGGAAAAAGCCAAAGGTAGTAAACCTTTATTTAAAACAACCTTTGTTATGGGTTGATGAGAAAAAAAATTTTGTTACTTATTAAGTTTACTATAGCAAAAACTTATCTATGTTTATTTATTTAGACTAGGCTTTTAGGGTGTGCCCATCTTCTATTAAAATTGTGAGCATGTTCTTTTTGTTAACATTTTAAAACAAAGAAGAAAAAAATTTTGCGGATCTTTAAAAAAAAATTCGCGGATTTTCAAGAATTTCAATTTTTTATAAAAAATAAAAAACCTTTAAAACACATTTTTTTAAAAATTTTTATCGTTCATAAACCTTCCCTGTGGTCACGTTATATCCCACAAAAAATTGTGCCCGATCGGTTCAGCCAAACAGACAGACAAGCCAAATTTATATATAGATATATTCCTTATGTAAATCAACGCTATCAATGTTTTGACGGGATCCTAGAGGTCCAGCGTAGGCTTTTCTTTTGTCCTCACTTCGTATATAGTTAAGGTGGCTGGGAGTTAGAGTTCCAACTGGAGAAGGAAACCTTGAGGTTGGGTTCACAACTGGAGCTCCAAACCTTGGAGTTAGATCAGTACCTTGAGTTTGGAACCTTACTGGATATGCACCTAGGGCTGAGAACTTTTGGTTCATATTGGGACCTGGAGCTGGAAGAGATGCAGAACCCTGCACATCAATCAGATAAGACAAGAAAGTTGGTCGATGTTTTAGCTCTGTAAATTCTTCTTAAAATATACACAACCTATTTATAAACGTTAAAAAATTATCATGTTTGGAGTTTGGAATATGAAGTATGTTTTGGTATTAGGCTTTCTAAGCTTTGCCAAACTGACTCTCTGGTTGACCCACTTTGTTCGTTTTAAAAATGTATACAACTTTTTGGAGAGCTTATGAATAAAAATAAGTAGATAACACACTGCACAGGCTTTGCTGACTCTTACATATGTGTATTGTATAAAGATAGATTTTACGAATGGTATTGGAATTTAATAAAATTTGAAATTTTTAAGATGTTAAAAAAAGACCCTACGAGCTTTCAAAAAAATGTATCATTTGTCATATAAAGACATCATACATTGGATACACGTATTCTGGTTTTAGGTATTCCAGCGCACAGAGATAGGATTAAACTTAACTCTATCTCTCTTTTCTTATCTGTGCCTGAGAAAGTCCTAAGACACATTGCTCCTCTTGTCCGCTAATATTTTGAGTACTCTTCTGAAGGATTGGAGATGGCACATTGGCTTTGCGAGAAGATTTAGGCTTTAATCCCGCTCCACTAGTCTTCGGAGCAGCTTTAGGAGCAGTTCCACTAGGTTTGAGAAATACTTTGGCTCCAGGTGTGACTTTTGAAGGAATATCATTCTTACTCGACGGTTTGGCGGAAGATTTGAAAACAGGTTTGATTTTCTCCGGGGGTTCTTTTATCTCCTCGGATAATTGACCTTCTCTTATATTCTCAACCGACCTAAATTTTCTAGAAACTTAAAACGAGAAAAAAAGGTGACAAATACTGGAAAAGAACAATACACACAAGACCTTTAATTTGATGTATATATTACAGTATCTACCGGCTTTTCGCCCACTTATGGAAGAAAAAAAATTGCGTTTTAAATCTGCCAGCTTTAAAATATATTATGACTCTGAAAATATAAGTTCCTTGTCTCTTGATGCCAAGGATTAGGAATATCCAGTTGTTTTGAGGGAACATGGAGGATCTTGAAGGGAGCTCCAGGTTTAGGGAACCCAGGAACCAGGAACGCTGCTCCGGAGTTCATCTCTCCTGACGGAACCATGATGTTTTGAATCCGTTTTATTTGAGGTTCAAACCTTAGTTTTTAAAAATAAAATAATAATATTAATGAAAATGTTAAAAATAATAATTATCACTTGAGTTTATAAGCTACGGATTGGAGGAAGAGTAGAATTGCTGGTTTTGGGTCAACCCGTCGTACTGGAGAAGGGTTATCTGATCTACAAATATTTTTAACTTGATAAAAAAGTTTTCCTACCAGAGGTCAAAACTGTCGTATTATAATTAATTGTACTCAATAACACACTTCGTCGGTTCCTCTCCCCCTCACTTTTAAGTTTCAGTTGTTGGACTCAGTCACCTCTTTCTTTGAATCATTAATCTTATTGTGGACTTTAGTCCTTCAATTTCAAAGTTAACTCTTTGTACATTGAGTTTGGTCGAATTGACTAATCGCTATCCAAACCAAAAGTTTCAGCCTGTGGCGCAATTGCACTGCAAAATCAAGTATTTTTTTACAATAAAAAGTCAAAATACTTTGGGTTTCTAACAATCCGCCTTGAAATAATGAGATTATGAAACGTTAATATCAAAGGAATTGACTCTTTGCAACAAACTCTGATTTTCTAATCCCTATATCTTTGGATTCCAAAGTCATAAACTTTTGAAATTTCAAACTATGACTTTTGTTAGATCAAAAAATATAAGTTTGAAATATCAAAGGTTTACGACATTGGGTTCCAAAGATATTGGGATTAGAAAATCAGAGTTTGGGGGGAAGAGTCAATTCCTTTGTTGACATTCTAAAAAAGAAATTGAGTTTTTGCCACAAACTCAAATTCTGTAATCCCTATATATTTGCCACCTGATGATGGTGTAAACCTTTGATATTTCAAACTAAGATTATTTAATCTAACAGAATTATAATATGAAATATCTAAGGTCTATGACATTGGGTTGCAAATATATAGGGATTAGAAAAGACTCAATTCCCTAGAAGAAGTAAAAAAAAAACATTTTTGATGATTTCCAATAGTATCAAATGTAAAATATACTTGTGTAAGAAAAACATGATACTTATTGTATAGTTAGGGCAGGTGTTCCTAGCTAGTACAGATACTAATTAGTCTTAATTAAATACAGATAGGACTGCAGGGATTGCAGGTATAGTCTCCTTCAGAGGTTTATTCAACCACCCAGGGTTGTGTAATATCTCAGGAGGTTAGAAACTCCCCCCCGACCAACTAGATTTGGTACAATTGACATTGCTAAAGGTTTTTTTTTGCAAAATATAATCCTTAGGGCAATAACTTATTTAAAGAATGTGTATCAGTTAAAGTCACTGTTAATATTTGTTAGGTATTATAAAAAAATATCTAAAAACCGCCTCATCCTCCTCCTCTTAAATATTTAACCCTGTATCCCTATCGGAACTACAGGCGTATACAAGTTATTATATAAACAAGACGCGGTTGGATGAACAACTAGAAGAGCGAAAGGGTGGATGATAGCATGGATGACTGCAGAGTGCAGAATAGGGAAACAATCAAATGAATGGATAAATACAAATTAAGGAATTGAATCTTTGCCACAAACTCTGATTTTCTAATCCCAATATCTTTGCAACCCAATGTCGTAGACCTTAGAAATTACAAACTATGAATTCTCTTATATCAAACAATTTAAGTATGAAATATCAAAGGTGTAAACCATCAGTTTGCGAAGATATAGAGATTAGAAAAATAGTTTCTTATAAAGACTCAATTCTTTTATGAATTGATTAATATTGAAAAACTATCTTGAGAACCCAGCGCTGTCTCATAGTTACCCGTGCTTGTCGTAAATTATGATTTTAGCTATTTTTCCCATATAAAAGTAGACCCACTCAACTTAGAATCTCAAAACCAGGCTAAGAACATAACCGTGGTTCTCCCGAGTTCTCCAATCAAAATTTGAGGCAAATTGGTATTTGGGTTCATGAGTTATGATCGAACATACAAACAAACAAACAGAGATTACAACTTTATATGTATAGATAGAACAAAATGCTCAAAATTGTACCTAACCGTCCACTCTGGGTACGTGAGAATACTGCCCGTACTTCTGAACCGTACATTATAGTAAACCATAGGCTCGGAGCTATCATCTTCGGTTAGTCTGTACCCGTACATATTCTTCCAGTACCTGAACCATAGATAATAGAATACACTAGATAGGACACCACATCGGTGGGGTTCAAGAATACACTAGATAGGACACCACATCGGTGGGGTTCAAGAATAGTGTTGTACGAATCCGTATGATGTGACATTGAACTATCTGCAATCAACAACTATTCAAATTGTCACATGATACATAAATGAATTTAGTCTTTGCCACAAACTCGGATGTCTAATCACTATCACTATGTGTTTAACCCTATTTAAAGTTTACACTATCAGGTTGCAAAGAAGGGATTAAAAAATCTGAAATTGTGACAAAGACTCGATAACTTTGGTTCTTTGATGTTAAAAATCTAAGAACATATACCCCTTTTGGCCTCCCCCCCCCCAAAAAAAAAATCATTGAATCACTTGAAAAACATAAATTTTAGGACACACACATTTATAAATATCATATTAAAAAAAACAACACACATTAATAATAAGTTTATAGTTTATAACCAAAGCGGGGTTATTATTACACATAATCCACACAGATGTTCTATTATACTAGAAAATGTTTATTATATTGAACTTTATCTTTTGGTCCTAGACAAGATTCGTAACTTGAGGAGGGCATCAGGTGCATGCCCCCCCCCCCCCCTGTAAGACAAAATTCAAGGTAAAATATGTGCCTTTTCACTTTGAAGTAATGCTAACCTCCCCCCACCCCAACAAAAATAACTCTAAGTAACGGGCCTGTCCTACACCACACACACACAAAAATATATTTATCTAATTACCTACGCATCTCACTCCAATCCTTAAACTGAGTATTCTCTGGAAGCTTCTTCGTGATAGAGACAAGGGAAGCTGAGCTTAGATTCGGCAAAACTTAACAAACCCAGTTTTATAAAGATTAAAAAGTTCATGTAATATTCATCTAAAATCCATTTCTAACATTGAAAAGAAGTTCTAAAAATCATTTAATTTTTTCAGTAATAAATATTATTCAATATCAAAATAAAAAACTTTGAATCTTTTGGAGAATAGTTTTCTTCTCCAAAGATTCCCAGAAACATTTTAGACGACTAAATATGCGCCGATGGCGAACATTTCGAGTAAATAATTCTGGACTTATGTTCGACATCGGTTTGTTTGCAGCGTATCAATTACATCATCCTAGTTCTTATTTTTTTTCTCTCAGAAATGTTGAATTCAAAAGCTGAAATTAGGCGTTAAAAACTAGAAAAATTTTCCAACAAATCGGGATATTAATGATTTTAGAGGGGAGGAGGGGTTGAGGCGTTTCCCCCCCCCCCTTCTCCAGTTTATCACTTTTCAACATAAAGATACCTTTGACCCGCTTGTTTCCAAAATGTTCGGTGTACAAAACCTCATTTTCATCTCCACTCATGAACTCTTCTACTTTCTGAAGACGTGACTCAGTACAGTTCAATGCTGTACAGTACAGTACAGTACAGCACAGTTCAACGCTGTACAGTACGGTACAGTACAGTACAGTACAGTACAGTACAGTACAGTACAGTACAGTACAGTACAGTACAGTACAGTACAGTACAGTACAGTACAGTACAGTACAGTTCAACGCTGTACAGTACGGTACAGTACAGTACAGTACAGTACGGTACAGTACAGTACAGTACAGTACAGTACAGTACAGTACAGTACAGTACAGTACAGTACAGTACAGTACAGTACAATACAGTACAGTACAATACAGTACAGTACAAAAACAATAATTAAATACTTAATAAAATTTTATTCGGACATTTAGGTGGGCAAGGCAAAACGTTTACTCGACTTAAATTCAAATTTCTAATTATTAGATCTTTGCAACCTTTAATATTTCAAATTAGAAGAGTTGAGTTTGTGGTGAATATTTGTTAATTTTCTTCACTAGATGTGTTCTATACTTCCTCTCAAAAATATGCATACGAGGAGTCACTCTCAGTTTAGATTTATAAACTATAAATTAAGATCAAAACAAAACTAAGAAGAAAATATGTAATCAAAAATTTAAAAAACATCTTGCTATATCAAAACTTCTAATTTGTATAACCAACAAATTGAGTCTTCTGTACTGGTTCCCTTTTTCGATAGGTTTAGTTCTGAAGGTTGAAGCAGGTTCATCTTGAAGGTTTCAGAGGAGATGATCATTTCAACAACATTTCCGGCAATATTGATATCAAGTAATATTCCATTGATCGGATCCTGTTCATAGTATGATTAATGATAGTTAACTCAATTAAATAATTAATGATCTTTAAGTTTTTTCTAGATTGATTCTACACTTTATTCAACCTTGATTTGACTAAAATTAGATGACACATTTTTCAACTAATTAAAAAAATTTAATTCAAATGCAAGTGAAAATTTATGAGTTCTTAATCTTACAAAATCGAAATGAGCACATTTGTTGGTCCAAAATATTAATTTTAAAGGTTCTGTTAAAAACACTCAGGGCTGCAACATTGCTAGCTCCGTATTTAATATTTATCGTACTTCTCCTTAATAAACTGGAATATAATAAATCTAAAAGTGAAAAATAAACAATTTAAAAAAAAAATATTTTCCACCTTGGAGTGTAAAAAGTGCTTGCCGGAAAAAAACCATTTTCCAACAGAGTTCCAGAGAGGAGACAGTCGACCAGTCAGAGTATACTGAAATTAATTGAGTTTTCTAATCAATCTTTGCAACCTGTTGGTGTAAACTGTAAACCTTTGATATTTCGAACTTGTGACTATTTGATCCAACAGAACTTAAAGTTTGAAATATCTAAGGTCTAAGACATAGGGTTGCAAAGATATAAGGCTCAAAAATCATGGTTTAAAACTCATTTCTGTTTTGTACACTCCTTGATGTCCGCGAAGGAAATTTAAATTCAAGGAATTAAATATTTTAATCTTAAAATTTGGTAGAAACCCCATAATACCAAATAAGGAAAGGATTAGTGCCTTCTACAGGAGTTAACAAGTCAACATGTTAAGTTAAGTTAACATGAGAGCATATATACCCAGTTTCCTGGATAAACAGAACTACTGTCCTAGTCCTACCTTGAGATACGAGGCCAGTATATACCCAGTTTCCCGGATAAACAGAACTACCGTCCTAGTCCTACCTTGAGACACGAGGAGAGTATATTCCCACTGTTTCCTGGATAAACAGAACCACTGTCAACCAGGTTCAGTTTACTGCATCTAAATATTAAACCAACAACTCAGACTGAAAGCTTTACTTGAAATTGGTTGAATTTTTTTAGGGAACCCATAGATACCCTGGGTGTAGCATAGGTCAAAAAAAAATTTTTTTAATTAAAAAAAAAATCGACATTTTTTAAAACTTTTTTAATTCCACGGGCAAAGCCGGGAACTTCAGCTAGTAGGCATAATACACATATTAAAATTCTTTCACAAAAGCTGGAGGTGAAAATTTCACGAACTATTGTGAATGACCTCCTCTCTGCATCAATATTTTATTTCCTGTCTAGGAAAACATATTTCCTGTCCTCCTACCTTAAAATAACATACTCCTTGTCCTACGCCTAAGATTAAAAAACATATATATACTTCGCTTTACCTGCAGAAAACATTTTTCTCGTTTTTACCTTCCTAACATGAGAATACATCCTACCTCTGTCCTCCGCCCTACATGGATAAAACATACTTCCTGTCCTCCGTCCTACCTAGAGAAAACAATCTCCCAGTTATCCTTCATAAAGCTACCTGCTGTCCTATGTCCTACTCCTGAGAAAACAACCTAACTGTCAGTGTCCAGTCTTACCTTGAAAAAAACCTGTCCTCCGTCATACCTTGAAATAAAGTTAGGGTTGAGATAAACATCCTTCCTGCCGACAACCATAACAGAGTTTGTTTCTATACACGGGGAAACCAGTATGTCCGGGATATGAAACATCAACTCTCTTAACAAACAAGAATTGGGCTGAAAACTTTAGAATTAGATACCAATAATAGCGATCGCTTAATCTGAATATCTACTATGGACACTTTTGATTTATGCTTAATCCGCTCTTTTTCCCTCTTTTTGATTGTTTATTATTATCATTTCTGGATTCCGACCAATGAGAGTTCTCTTATTAAATGGGGCGCAAAATTTCAAACGCCACTCTGATTTATTGAATTTTAGAAATTTTCCGGGATACAAACTAAAGATTAAAATAATCTTAAGATTAACAAAAATAGGAGATCAAGCATTGATCTCGATATCCACAATTCTGAAGTTTTCAGCTGACTTCGGTCCTGAACCATGGATAAATAATGCATTTCGGAAAAGAAAAATTTACATCGCAAATATATTACATGATTTTTCTGAAGAAAAAATATATATTTAAGGATTTTCTTCTTCAATGGACGCGACTGATCCGTGCTTTATCCTATCTATAATTTAACAAAAACACAAGTCCCCTGCATGCACCCTTTTGCAACCAAAGAAATCCCTGTTTTCTTCAAATTTACTCTTGTATCTATCAAAGTTACCCATTAAGAAATTACTGCGTCTGGCAAACTACGAATCCAAATCGTATTACGAAAGGTTGAAAGGAGGAATTATCTTGCCTTGTTTTGAGAATCACGGAGCTAAACTGAGTTCCAGAGGATTGTTCAGAATCAAGCTGGTCAATCTTGAACCTTCTGGTACACCAGTCCCCCATAGGTAGTGGGTTCGAGATAAATACATATTTATCCATCTACAAATATTGGATTTATACTTATCTATCCGTCTACACAGATTGTAGTGAACAAATATTTATCTATTTAGAACTTTTGGGGATTAATACATACTTATCCATCTAGAAATATTGAGATAAAAACAGAACCATTTTAAAATAAATACATTCCCAAGTGTTCCACAAAAATTAATAGGTTTTATCACAATTTTATTACAGTCTAGTAGCTTCCAAAAAAATTCTGAAATTATGACTGGTCAAAAGATGCCTAATGGGCAATGACCGATCCGAACAAACAAAAATCATCGGTCTTAAATTCAAATAATATATCAGTTAAAATACGAAATTAACAGCTAAAATGCTAAAACAACATTTAACAATGATAAACAAATCAATCAATTGAAAAATTATCGCTTTTTTACTCAGTTATTAAAATGTAGATACTGCATAACGTTTTAAGATAAATGTTCAATTTACATTAATATTCTGTTAGTTTATCTATTTAATACAAAATAAATGCATTTTATAAATGAAAAAAAAATCTTATAAAAAATGCTTCACTGCTAATTTGACCCACATGTCAATTTTGTACTGAAAATAGAGAACTGGTAAGAGTCTAAAAATGTGAATACATTTTCTCTAATATTGTCATGGCACTGTACAAATCTTTATATATACCTAAATGTAAATTCAATTACTCTAATATTGTCATACCATTGTACAAATCTTGATATATACCTAAATGTAAATACAATTACTCTAGTATTGTCATAACATTGTACAAATCTTGATATATACCTAAATGTAAATACATTTATTCTAATGTTGTCAAGCATTGTACAAATCTTTACATATAAGTAGCTAAATGTAAGTACAAAAACTCAAGTATTGTCAAGCATTGTACAAATTTTTACATATACCTAAATATAAATACATATACTTTAATATTGTCATAGCATAGTAATTATCGTTATATATCTATACCTAAACGTAAATATAATAAAATTAGAGTTGTGTTGAAGATGGTTAAAAACAAGATTATGTAGGCAATAAAAAGTAAAAACATGTGAAAATGCTATTTGATCAAGTTAAATATAAATATATATACTTTTTTCAGAGCATTGTGCACATCTTTATATATACCTAATTGTAAGTATGTTTACTGTAATTTTCTCATAGCTTTGAAATGTAAATCCAAATACTCTAATATTGTCTTTGTAAAAATCTATATATATACTTAATACTGGATAAGCCTCGTAAAACAATTATGAGATTAATATAAAAATTCAGCTAGTTTTAACCTTAAGAAACCAATGTGAAATTGTTGAAACGAGTTTAGAATATGTTATCATTTATTTGAAAGACATGTGTCGTAAGCCTAGATTTAATTGGGTTGAACCGGAGATATCGGGTTTATAAAAATTTTAACAGTTTAGTTATACAGTATACGCTAGATACTAATCTATATATATATGCAAAAGTTATTTATATCTTATCTTCCTGTACTAGATATGTGTACCTTACATTCAAATACACTAGATAGATGTACCTTATTTTAAAATACATTAGATATAATTCATCCATGTAGATATATATAAGTATCTATCTATCTCTAGTATAGTATTCATGGAATGAATATTGTTTCTCTGATCTAGTATTTAGTGAATATTGTTTCCCTGATCTAGTATTCATGGAATGAATATTGTTCCTCCAGTCTAGCATTCATGGAATAAATATTGTTTCTCTGATCTAGTATTTAGTGAATATTGTTTCCCTGATCTAGTATTCATGGAATAAATATTGTTCCTCCAGTCTAGCATTCATGGAATAAATATTGTTTCTCCAGTCTAGTATTCATGGAATTATTGTTCCTCCAGTCTAGTATTCATGGAATGAATATTATTTCTCTGATATAGTATTCATGGAATGAATATTATTTCTCTGATCTAGTATTCGTGGAATGAATTTTGTTTCTCTGATCTAGTATTCATGGAATTATTGTTCCTCCAGTTTAGTATTCATGAAATAAATATTGTTCCTCCAGTCTAGTATTCATGGAATAAATATTGTTTCTCTGATCTAGCATTCATGGAATGAATATTGATTCTCTGATCTAGTATTCATGGAATTATTGTTCCTCCAGTCTAGTATTCATGGAATGAATATTATTTCTCTGATCTAGTATTCATGGAATAAATATTATTTCTCTGATCTAGTATTCATGGAATGAATTTTGTTTCTCTGATCTAGTATTCATGGAATGAATTTTTTTTTCTGATCCAGTATTCATGGAATAAATATTGTTTCTCCAGTCTAGCATTCAGTTTCATGAAGGTCTAAACATACAAAAAAAAAAACAAGTTTCACAATAATTCTGAGAAGAAAATGGTTGTAACATTTTGGTGCTCAAGTTCCCACAATAGCTTGCAAATGTCTGCAGAATCTATTAATAATATTTAATCCTAGGTTTGAAGAGAATCCTGCAATTCATTGCAAACTTACATTAATCTTAGTTGCATCATTACTCCCAGCTCCTGCAAATATTAGAGTAAATAACAAAATAAAAATTCGAATATTACATGCTCGTAGATTGACTTACATTGAATTTCATCTAAATATATACATATACATCTAAAATAAATATTTAAACTGAAAAAGTTGAAAATATGAAAATCCGCAAAAAATTTATTATTTTTAAGTTTGTCGAAGACAAAATGTGAAAGATTGAGCAACTCTTAAAAGTTGAAATAGAAGATTGGCGCAAAGCGCCCATATTTTCTTTTATTTATAAATTAATTTAATCAATAGCATACATAATAAAGTATTATTTGAAACTTGTTAAAATCTGCTGTGATTTGTTTTTTAAATCTTCTCGATATTTGTTGCATTTTAATCATAATCTGCAGAATTTGGATAAAAACTCCAATTTAATCATTATTTTTCGATTAAGCAAACGCTGCAAATGAAGTGCTTTTAACTCTGATATTTTGTAAATTGTCCGATTATTAAGGGAAATATTGGCAATAATCTTAAGGTTAATAATTTTGGAACTTAATCAATATATCCTTCTTTTACAGTTTGGATAGAGCCCCCAGCCATATTCTAACAAGGTTGGATGGAGCCCCCCAGTCATATTCTGACAAGATTGGATGGAGCCCCCCAGTCATATTCTGACAAGATTGGATGGAGTCAGTTATCCTTAGAAAATTGATGGGTCTGTATTTATTGAAAATAAGGGTGATATACCGGACATGTTGTATCTCTCCAATAATACTGCAGCCCTCTGCTATTTTTTATCAAATAAGGCTAAATTATTGATAAAATCTTATCAACCTGACAGAAGGCAAGATAAGATATAAAGTGTTGTGTATACACGGTTATGTTCACACAATGATTTTAAATTCTACAGACCTTTATACATAGAGAATATCTCTATGCCTTTATAGTTTGTACAATTTGTTTAATAGATCAGAATGCAAAAATTATTCGGAAAATTAAAAGAAATTGAGTCTAACCACAAACTTAAATATTATAATCCCAATATCTTTGCAACCCAATGTCGTAGACCCTTGATATTTCAGACCATGAATTCAGTTAGATCAAATAATTTAAATTTGAAATAGAGCTTACGCTAAAGGATATTGGGATTGGAAAATTTGTGTTTAAGAATATAAGGTTTTCAAAAGATAATTGTGTTATCAATGACAATAATATATTATTTGTTTCTCTGTTGTGTTCTTATTTCCGCCCAAAAGACATCAATGAATTTTAAAAATCCACCCACATAAAATTGCAATATTGGGTTTTGTGGTTTTTGGATAATACATAAAAGGAAACGGCGGTGGTATTAGTGTTTAGAAACTAGAATGAATAAGACATTAAAATTATTGCCTCTCACCAAAATTGATAATTTGAAATTTTTTGAATTTTTTGTATGTAACGTGATAATTAATAGAATTAAATATCCATTGCATTAGATCATGTTAAACTTGATTTCAAAGCAAGTATTATATTTTGTTTCTGATCATACGCGGTTTTATTCGGATTATTCAAGCTATTCATCTGAAATTGACATCATAACCCAACAAGAGACTGTTACTCTTATCCCATTAATCAGCCAAATATTTATGTGCAATGTGCACTTGGTTTTATAGCATTTTGTAGGTCATAAGCAAGTATTCATATTTGTTAAAATCTGGAATTTATTATCTTTTTTGCGAAATTTTAAAAGCGAAATACTAAAGTAATGATCGAATTTAAAATAATCTAAAAGCTGTCAGTTTTATCATGCTAAAAATATATTTATAATATTGAATGCAATTTTTCTGTCTTGAAACTTTAAACATTAAATAGAGTTTATATCGGCTTGTCACTTCTATAAACTAATGTCATGATGATATAATATAGAACTAAAAATTACAGGAAAAAAATCAGTATTTGAACTGAAATATATTTGAACTCGTAAAAGAAATGCATGCATAAGAAGAAACTTTAAATTTCAAATAAAAATATTGGAAGAAAAAAGAAACATCACACACAAAGTAAAAACACATATATTCATTTCTAATTTTACAATCTTAAAGAAAAGTCAATAATTTCTCTAAAAACGAGCGTAAGGTGTAATTAGGTCCTTAATGCCATAATTACCTTTGGTTTTGATTCTGATGTCGTAGCAGTTAATTTTTATATTTCAAAGTATTTTAGTTATTTCATGTATCCTTCATGACAAAGCAAATGATGAATATTCTGGATATTGATGGATTTCTCGAAATACAATCAGCGCACCTAGCTTTGCTCTACCCAGGGGGCTGATGACCAAATATGGGTTTACTGTGTCATTAGCAATGGATGTATTGCATATGTATATGTATACGGTAAAATCAAATAAACATGAAAATTCATTAAACTTTAAACATCTTGAATTTAGGAATTACAAACTTTAACTTATAACGTGCAATGTTACGATACAAACATACAGGGGTCCAACTCGAGCAGGGATTCATTTATATAGAGATTTAGTGGCAGATTTAAGTAACCCTGAGACAAAAAGAAATTTTGTTAAAAATTAGCAGTGTTTCGGATCCGGATCCGGTCGGATCCGTATCATTTGGTCGGATCCGGATCCTGATCCGGATCCATGAACACGGATGCGGATCCGCGGATCCGGATCCGGATCCAAATCAAAATGATATGGATCCGAAACACTGAAAATTAGAAACATCTGAAATCACCAACTAAAAATTGTTTTATCTTGGCCAAAAAAAAGTTTTTTGCCTGTAAGACTGTAATGGCTTTAATTTTAACATCTTTTTATGATTTTAACGTTTTTGAATTCAGTGTTTCATTTTTGACATAATTCAAAGAAACAAAAAATATTTTTGTTTGCACTAGTGAATTGATATTCACAAAAATGTGATGCAGTAAATGAATTTGAAAGTAAGAAAAAAAATACAATTTTATTTTTTTATTGTAGAATCTGAGCATTCTTATCAAAAAGTGCCAAATGGTCTCCCCCCTTAATTTTAGGGACTAAGAAAGTTATTCTGGCAGATTCGGCAGCTTTGATAAACACAAATACTATTTTGGTATTTAAATATTGACAAGTGGTATTTGTGCCACAACGTTCACCTAGATTAATCCAAGATGAAATGAACCCCTGAACAAAAGAAAAACTTCACGGAGAAATGACATCCATTTATTAACATGTTAGTTACCAAGGTTGTAATGCAAGGAAAGTTAATTGTGGTCGTGTATACTCTGCGCACATGTTGAAACCAGTTCTCTGTGGGCGGAATTTGTAAACAAGAATAGATGCATCAGTTTTCCTATAGTATCCGAGGAGTTTAAAGGCATTAAATTTTGATAATTCACATAATAGTTTCCTATGACCAGAATATTTCATTGATTTTTTTATGTGAAAGATGGATCCCATGTCAGGCTTCGACATCCGTCTTGTGTTTACATTACCGCCCAGAGACAGTACACTGCAGTACAAAAGATTCGTACACGTATAAAATAACTTTCCTTGCATTACATTCTTGTTAGTTACCATATATTTTGATAAAATCGCACTAAAAAAGTAATGGCGTATTTTGTGAGTTTGTCCTAAAATTCCGTTGTTAAAAAAACTGTTTCGGTGTTAAATGTGGATTGTTGAAGAAATATTCAGACAAGGATTAGTTGTAAGGCCTGAACAAACATGGGATTGTACAATGCAACAACGGACAGTAATGTTTCCAGGTCATGTTTACTGAATACCCTTGTACTTTACTTCACTTTAACACCAAGATTAAGATTGACACATTGCATATAATTTCTAGAGAATTAATTGACAGAGAAATGTTTCACATTTTTAAGGAAAATTTAAAGCCGCAACTAAGCGTATTTCTTGTAATAGGGGAGGGGGTTTTACTATTAAAATCCCAAAATGATGCAAATGGAATTTTTAATTTAAAAAAAACTTAGTTTAATAGCTAACATTATGTACTTTATGTAGACACTAGAATAATTTTCAACGATTAAATAATAAGGTAGCTTTACACTTGCTTATAACATGTCTTCCTACACATTTGACTTACGTTAAGCTAATGAAAAAATACCCATTATTGAACACTGAACAGTATAGTATCAGTGCTTAAAATATTCAGCTCTGATTGTGTATTTGTAAACTTGTGCATCATTCCCACCACTCCAATCCCCCCCCCCCCCCCACCACCAATATTCACGAAATTCTAAGTTTTCATATTTCTATAAAATAAATTTAAAAATAATATTTGCTCCTTATTCCTCCGAGTTAGGCTAACATCTTTCTGTGTCCAGCTCGTCCACCAATGCATTAGCTTCAAAGTGTTTGTCACAAACTCAAGTTTTCTTACCCTCTTAATCTTGATAGTGTAAACCTGTAAATTTTCAAACATGGATTTAATGATATAAAAACAAGAAAGCTTTTCTGGGTTTCAAAGAAAAAAGAATTATTCACAGTTTGTGGCAAAAACTCAGTTCACTGGGATAGAGATTGAACATAGGTGTATATCCGTCAGAAACTGCAGGGTCCTCTATTCTCGGCATTCCATTTTTCTCATTTTGGTAAAAAAAAGAGCATTATTTTCCGGAGCAATGATATTTCTCTGTATTAAAAATCTCGTAGAACACTGTACATAATTTTAATCTCGTCAAAATTTCTTCAAACATCGGATACATTTTTAAAAGTAAACTCAACATAATTGGAAGCAAAATGACGAGATCATTTCGTGAATAAGAGGCAGAATCATTCTAGTTTAAAAGAAAACCAGGAAATGATTTCTGAATTTAAACAACAAGGAGTCTTTTTAAAATCATAATTTATTTTAGTTAATAAAAATATCAAACTATTGCATTTGTTCAAATAAAATTTTTTTTTCCAAAATATGAAAATATCAGAATTTTTAAATGAAAAATTTGTTTTTCCAAAGATGGAAATGGATTTTGATCAGAAATCAATATATAAATGTTATAAAAAACGTGTCAAATCTATTCACAAAGTATACATATCTAATCATTTTCTCATGTTACACATACAAGCATAATTCTGAGCGTGCAGGAATAAAGCATTTAAAATTAATTAATACTAATTACCGAATGCTGATCCGTCTAATTTCTGCTAATTAACAAAAAAAAATACAAGTTTAAAAATCCATACTTTATTCATATCTATGAAAAAATAACTCTTGAATCAAATAAATGATCATTTAGAACATATTGTATGGAACTGTACAGGTTTAACAATAACTCCTTAAATATCAACTGACCCTCCAGATTATTATTTTATTTTAAATAATATTAAAGAAACAGCACAAACTTTGTACTTGTGTCTACTACAATAAACTACAGAACGTAAAAGTTCTTTCGATATGCAAGGTCAGAGATTAGAACCTCCGGATAACCAGTTGTCTTTAATAATAAGTTTCTTGCTCGATCCATCCTCCGGGGTTACGTCTCAGAAGGAACTTTCTGCTCTCATCGTAAATGAAGATGATGAGGGAGAAGGGGAGAGCTGGGAGCCACCAGTTGAACTTCAGAGGGTACATTCTCAATCCCTTGTCCATGCCAGGGGTGTAGGACAAGAAAGCGGCCAAGAGGGTTTCGAAGACAAGACCAAAGTTCATGAACCAGTTCTTCATTCCCTGTTGGAACACAGAGTTCTTCCTGGTCTTACAGATGATGAGATCAGCCCACTGTACAATGACGATGGACACGAAGAAGGCAGTATGGCAAGTGTACTCAAGGACCTTTCTATCCTTGTAGGTCCACTCCTGACCATAGGAATCCTCCAAATCGTTGACTGCAACGGAGTCCCATGCTCTTCTGAGTCCCAGAAGATGGCTGGGCCAGAAACCGTTCTCGCAAAGGATGACAAAGTAGACAAAAAATCCAGCGGAAGCCTGGATCATACCAATCTGACCGTAGGCCATGGAGATCAGGCGTTCGTTCACAAGTTTGTCTGTGAAGGGGTTTCTGGGCTGACGCTTCATGATGTCAGACTCAGCCTGTTCGTAAGCCATGGAGATAGCGGGGACCATGTCAGTTCCCAGATCAATACACAGGATTGTGACGGTTCCAAGGGGTAGTGGAACATCAGCCAAGATGAAGAGGAGAAAGGGTGAGATCTCGGGGATGTTGGAGGTCAAGGTGTAAGCGATGGACTTCTTCAAGTTGTCGAAGATAAGACGGCCCTCTTCAACTCCGGTAACAATGGAGGCAAAGTTGTCGTCGAGCAAGATCATGTCAGCAGCCTGCTTGGACACATCAGATCCAGCAATTCCCATAGCAACTCCAATATCAGCCTTCTTCAGGGCAGGAGAGTCATTGACACCGTCACCAGTGACAGCAACAATAGCTCCCATTCTCTGGCAACCTTCAACAATGATCAATTTCTGTTGAGGAGAGGTTCTAGCAAATACAATTTCAGTGTGGTACATGAGGAGATCATCAAGGGCCTTCTCAGACATGTCCTTCAGTTCTCCACCGTGGACAACAGCAGCTTTGGCATCTCTTGGGTTAACCTTGCTCACATCGATGTTCAGACGTTCGGCAATATCATCAACAGTCTCCTGTCCGTCAGAAATGATACCAACAGACTTGGCAATGGCCTTGGCAGTGATGGGGTGGTCACCAGTAACCATGATAACCTTGATACCGGCAGATCTGCACTTAGCGACAGCATCAGGTACAGCAGCTCTGGGAGGGTCAATCATAGACATGAGTCCAACGAACCTAAGTCCTTCTAAGGGAAAGTTTTCTTCATCAGCATCAAAGGGATATCCACGAGGGTACTTGTCAGCGGGGAGAAGCATGTCACAGAATCCAAGAACTCGCTCTCCAAGTCCTCCAAGCTCCATGTAGGCATTGTTGAAAGAATCTTGCCATTCTTGGTTCAGTTCCCTCTCGGTTCCGTCAATGATGATGGTGCTGCATCTCTCAAGGATTCTCTCAGGTGCTCCCTTCATGACCAGGAGATATCTCTGGTCATTCTTGTCTTCCTGTTCGTGAATAGAAACCTGGAACTTGTTGGAAGAGTTGAAAGGAATCTCACAAACCTTCTTGTTAGCATTACGGTACTGGATAATATTTCCCTTGGATAGTTCGGTACACTTGAGAATGGCAGCTTCAGAGGCATCACCGTTGACTTCTCTCTTCAAGATTGGAACATTATCTTGTCCAGACTTGAACTCAGCCCTGTTGCAAAGAGCACCAACTCTCTCAAGAGTTTTCCATCCGGGGGCGTTCTTGTTAAAGGCGTTTCCGGACTGATCCTCCGAGGTATCAGCTTCGTGGATCTTGTTGTCAAACCACATGTGAGCAACGGTCATTCTGTTCTGGGTCAGGGTTCCGGTCTTGTCGGAGCAGATGGTGGATGTAGATCCTAGGGTCTCGACAGCCTCGAGATTCTTAACCAGACAGTTCTTGGAGGCCATTCTCTTGGCAGTGAGGGTAAGGCACACAGTAACAGTGGCAAGAAGACCTTCAGGTACATTAGCTACAATGATACCAATAAGGAAGATGACAGCATCCAACCAATGGTATCCAAGGATGAAGGCAATGATGAAGAAAGTAACTCCAAGGAAAACAGCGACTCCGGTGATCAAGTGAATGAAATGTCCAATCTCTTTGGCAATGGGGGTCTCTCCAGTATCCAATCCTGAGGCAAGTCCAGCAATACGTCCCATAACAGTGTTGTCTCCAATGTGGACGACAACTCCGACACAGGTTCCTTCAACAGCGTTGGTGGAGAAGAAAGCTAAGTTCTTAGTTTCAAGAGGATTCTCATGAGTGAATTCAGGGGACCTGGAGCAGGGTTCAGATTCTCCAGTCAGGGAGGAATTGTCGACTTTGAAACCTCTGGCCTCTAAAACTCTTACATCTGCCGGAAGTCTGTCACCAAATTTGACTTCAACAATATCTCCGATGGTGAGGTCTTTGGCTTCAATGTTAAGTTTCTCCCCACCCCTGCGGACAAGAGCGTACTGGGGAACCAAGTTCTTGAAGGATTCCATAATTTTAGCAGATTTGGACTCCTGGTAGTAGGAGAACACGCCGGTCACAGTTACAACAGCAGTAAGTACAACACCAAGGTACAGGTTATCATCTGGAGGCTCCTCGAAGTTTGTCGCCTGAATAGTGTAGGCAACAAAACAGAGAATAGCTCCCAACCAGAGCAGCATAGCGAACCCAGAGAATAAGTTCTTGCAGAACTTGATCCATTCTGGGGTAGTGGGAGGAGGGGTCAGCTGATTTAGACCATATTCTTCTTGCTTCTTCTTAACCTGGTCAAGGGTGAGACCGTTTTCAAGGCTGGTTCCAAATCTTTTAAGGATTTCATCTTGGGAGATCTTGTGAACATCGATCTCAAGCTCCTGCTTTAGGTCGTTCAAATTTCTTTCCTTCTTCTTAGGAGCTGAAACAAAAACAAATATATTAACATAGACGACCCACAAGATGATATTATAAGCCAGATTGACAATCCGTTCAAATGCAAACATATTTTTGAAAATTAATATTTGCACTGAGCGTTATCTTAAAGAATAAATATTGGCTGATACAAGCTGGTAAAATCATTATCTTTCTATACCCAAACTTAGATAGTAAATGAGGTTAATACTAGTATAAAGCAAAGTGCATTATACAAAGTTAATAAAACTCCCCCCCCCCTCTCTCCCCACACTATACAAACATACTAAATTTGGATTAAGATGAATGATATGATAAAAACCCATATGCTGAAATGTCAGGGTGGGGTTTTATACATATGGGATTTTGTGTGTCTTCACAAGTTTAAATCTGTTTTTTTCTCTATTTCAAGTTGAATACAATTGAAGTCGGTTTACAAAATGCGAATAAAGCAATGTAATAAGTAATAATCTAGTTCGCAGAACTCGAGCTAATTGTATCCGATTCATTCTCCGATTAAAGAATTAATGAACTGTGTATCTGAACCATGCAACTAGATATCCCGGAGTAAAACAGATCTACCCTTTCCTAAACCATGATTCAATACATTAAAACTCAATAAAAGGATTATCATCCAGGTTCAGGAGCTGAGCCCATTCTTAACTATCTCAGTAGTTCAGGGCCTACCCGGAGATTTTATGTATGGAGCCTGTATCCAACCCGTTTCTGGTCAATCAGGTGAAATTCTGCAATAACTAGACCAGGTTGCAATCCACTCAAGGCTAGTTAAACCAGGGTTGAAATTGTCTAAATACAAACTTATCCGGGGTTCAAAAATTGTAAACAAAATGGTTACACAAGAAATTCTCGATTTTATGTGAAATATAACCAATACTGAATTTAAAGGGAAACAGGTTCCGATAGGATCAATGAAAACCTGTGGACCGGTATCAACATGTAGAATACAAAACTATATTCTATACATCTATCTATCTATCCTTCATCCTGCTTGTAGTTTCATGTTTCTATTGTCATTATATCGTTTCCTGTTTTCAGTTTACAACGGAACCAGTTGAATATAGTTGATAATTTATACATCTACAGATCTCCCCCCCCCCCTTCAAGTGCATATACCTTGGCCCCCCTTAACCCTATTCACCACCAAGAAAACCTGTTGTATCATCATCCTTGGCATTCCCCGCTCCCGCTTCACCCTTCCCCCCAGACTCCTCCAACTCTCAACCCATGCACCCTCCCAACCCTGTTCCCATAAACTATATAACAATCCGCAATCATAAACACAGATTTTAAACAATATTACTCTGCAATAAAATTTGCATTGTTCACAAGTTCCTGGGATATGGAATTTGCAATATATTACAATCTAACCTTCGCTCACAAACTAAGAAACATTATTTGGCAAAAAGATAAACAATCAGACAATTTTTTGGTAAAATAACAATCAAAAATACAGTTTAAACTGAATCCCTATTTTTGTGAAATTAAGTCAAACATTATACCTAATCTACAATTAAGAAAAACTTGCATTTTTGCATTTAACATAAAAGCTTGAAGACACGAGTATTTAAAATTATGCCATAAATATTAAATAAACAAGCTAATTCCTCTAAAAGGCAAGGCAAGAAATTCAAAACCTGAAGATTACAAAATAATTCTAGGCAGAAGTAGAAATTTTATTTGAGTTTTAGTGTTGAATAGTTAAGGCCGAGGGAGAAAAACAAGTTAATCTGTGAAACTGAAATAAAGGTTGTTTTGTCAGATCTAGGTAAACAACAAGCAGTGCACACAGGTTAGGGTTGGCAGATCATGTGTGCAAAACATCACAATAATTGAAAATATTCAAACTAAAAAGATGAGACTTTAAATAAAAAAGTGGCTTCACAAGCAGTATGAAAATTCTTTTCCTTTAGAAAAAAACTCTAGGTGCTTCAAGAAATGGCAAATAATTCAGATAGATTCAGCTACTGAAAAACTTGGCGCAATTATAAAAAAAAATATTTTAAAATATTAAAAAGTTTCTATACAAAATATACCCACCTCTTTCCGGCAATTGCAATTATTTGAGCCCCTCCCTATATATATCAGATATAATTGCCCTCCGATGCGTGTACTTTACTAAACTCTAGGGCCTGGCAACCTGGCATAGGATTCAGTTCAGGCGAATATATTCAGTTTGAATTTAGAGATATTTCGGACTAATCTAGACTCGGTGAATTTAAATCTGTTTTCAGGCCAGAAACATTCCCAACATTTTGCCCTTTAGCAGAAAGTTAGTCTTTCAAAGAAAAATCTTAAACTGACATCTTCATAAGAATATATCAGTTTGAAAAGCAAGGAAAATGTATTCAGAAAAAAATAAACGGTTACCAGGGTCCAGGTATAAACTTATTTCAACTTTTGTCGAGTTTTATAATTAAATAAGAACTGTTTGCTTTGAGTGTTTATAATGTCAGTTTAAGTCAACATAAAAATATTTGTTTTGCTCTGTGCAAATTAGGTAGTAAACTAATCATATTTTTTTATTTTTCATATTCATTACTTTTCATAACTTTCTTCCGAATTTTTTTGAACCGGGGCGGGAAGGTTTAAAGGGTTCTGAGATGCAACGCGGAGAAAGGAATGACGTAAAATGATGTCAACGTTTATACATGGAAAATTCCCAAAATGCTTCCTTTCGCCGTACTGTGCAGAATCCCCTCCCTGCGCTATGCCAACCCATCTATTCATGGATATTTATTCTAAAGTATAAAAATAAAACAATGTTGGTTAGATAAAAAATATATTTTTAAAAATACTAAAAAAGGCCAGAGCTAAGAAGCATATACGTATCAAAATATCTTCCATGAAGAATCAATACAACCCATTGTAACGATATCATCGTACCCCCTCCCATTGCTGTTAATTTAAAAATGTGCACCATATGTAAATATTTAGTTTAGTAATGTTGATAAAATTTATTTATTTATCTTAAAATATGAAGATGCCACATGTTTTCATCCCCCCCCCCCTCTCTAGTTTCTCGTGAGAAATATTTCTTTGGGTGTGGTGTACACTGTGAACCCAAGTTCTGATAACCAAAATCCAAATACTGGTTTTTATCTTTTAATAATATTTGACACGCTAAGATTTTAAAGAAAAATGTGTTTTAATCGCAGGGGAAAAATATACTTTTCAGATATTAAGAAGATTAAAAAAACTTTTCTCGTCCCTGTCAATGTTTCCAAAGAAATAACTAATTATATTTATTTGCAGTACATTGATGAACTGAACTTCTAAGTTTTAAGGAAAGAAAAATAAATAGAGATGTAAAGTTTAGGTAAACAACTGTTATGTAAAGCCAGGGAGAGTACCAGTAATAAATTATTATTGAAAACGAAACCGTAGTAGGAGTAATAGTCCAAGACATGAGTGAGTTTTTTAAGATGATTTAAAATAAAACACTCTGTTAAGAAGATAAAAGTTAAAATTGAAGCAACAAGTAAAAATTGTCGATGTCGTAGACAATGTGAATATATTTGTGTATATATGAGAGGTGAATAATGTATGTATGTATAATGTATATGCTAGAAATTGTCAGGAGGGGTGCGTTACTGCGTCGTTAGGAATAGGGGGTGCGTCTTCTCGAAGACATCTCCTCCCTTTCTCTCGCTAAGGATTTACCCCCCCCCCCCNCCCTTGTAGATAGCTAAAGATTATAAATGAACCTAATACTTTCTTACAATAGCTCCCTCCCTTGTTTTTCCTTAAAATAATACAAAGAAAATTATTCTTTAAGTGCTTTAGCATAATATGTTCATTGTTTGTTAGACCTGCGTGCGCTTGGTATAATATAAACGCAGCATAGTGACAAGCCGGCCTTTAACTAGATATATCCAGATATCTTCAGCTATCACAGGGATGTCTATTTTTCAAAACAAAAGAAAGTTGCGTACTTTAAGACCTTGATTTCTTTTTTTCTCAAAAATGTTTCCGTGAAACCCCAATATTTCGATTTATTTACAGCAATATGCAATTAATGTTTAGCCCTGACTAATTAAGCTTGGGCTAGGAAATCATCAGTCTTTTTTCTAGGTAGTAGGGAATACAGCAAAGGGTAACATTCAAATGGAAACAATGTTTATCTATGCACCTACTTCCCAACCATACTGCAGGTCCGAGGGCAATGAGAAACCTGTCTAGTCTTTTAGGTGCTGAATGCAGAAACCTTCGATAACAAGCAAAAGGATTTCTGCACAAGTGTAAGGGAAGAAGGAAATGAAGCAGGAACAGAATGAATATTTACATGAAATGAAAATTATCTACAAGTCACTTAGAAGTGAAAAATTATGAATTCTTTAAACATGGAACTTAAAATGGAAGTAGAGTGTCAGAATGGTTGACAAGAAGAAAAAAAGGTAGACAAGTAGAGAGAAAATGGCAGGCAAGCAGGAAGGAATTAGCAGGCAAGCAGAAAGGAAATAGTAGGAAAGTAGAAAGAAAATAATAAGCAAGCAGAAAGGAAATAGTAGGCAAGCAGAAAGGAAATGGCAAGAAAGAAAGCAAGAAAACGACAAGCAAGTGATAAGGTAATGGCAGGAAAGCAGACAGGAAATGGCACGCAAGGAAAGAGGAAATGACATGAAAATAGTAAGGAAAAAAAGGAAATTACAAGGAAGTGATAGAGTAATTGCAAGTGAGTAAGAAAGAAGAGAAATGACAGTTAAGTGATAATGTAATTGCAAGAAAGTAAATAGCAGGCAAGTAGACATGAAACAGCAAACAAGAAAGAAAATGACAATATCTATGAACAGGAAAATAGATGGGAGAAAAAAAATATGAGATGTGGAAGGAGATAAATGAAAAGCATTAAAAGGAAAGTGACAAATTGGCAAGGAAAAAAAAGTAAAAATGAGTAGAAGTGACAGTTATCAGGTAAAAAATAAATGAGATGGGGAAAGAGTGTATTGAGCAGGAATATATGGGATTTAAAACATTTTAAAATTTGCTGTGACAGCAAGAAAAGTGAGGTAAGCTTAGCCCAGAATAGATCTTAGCAACACACCGTGTTTTCTTCATACTTTACAGGTCGTAAAATCGTTACAAACTTAAACAGCACTGCCTTGTATATCACTAGGAGGAGAAAAAATTAAAAAGTAATTTGATTTTTTTTAAATTTTAAATAAAACTGGTGTTCCTGTGAAAATGACTAAAGAGAATGCTTGTCAGCACTCGTTAAATGAAAATAGAAAAGTTTATGACTAGGTTTAAACCACAAACATGAAATTGAGAGTATGTAGTATTGTATACCAGCCTGTATCAGCAATATAGACGCTTACTTATTTAAACGGAAATAAAATAGAAAAAGTAACTGACATTCAAACAAAGTAGGACATATGATTGACAAGCACTGATACGAAAGATAAAAACCAAAAATTTTGATGTGAAAGCAGAAAAATATGAGAAAAAAAATATTAAGAAGACGAACTAACCTGCCCCGCGCCCCATGATGGCTGTGAAGCGAGTGAGACTGTGTAGGTACTTGAGAGAGTAGAATATAGAAGCGGACCCCTATACCGGCATGGGATGCTGGAAAGCGAGGGCCGGAGTAGGCTGGGGGGAGGGGGTAGAGTAAGTGCGCTTGGTGAGGACCGGGTAGGTTCAGCACAGCAACAGGAGCCAAGGCTGACAGGTTCTACGAGAAAAGTACTTTTACAACTCCGATATTCGAGTAGAAACCGGTTTTAAAACATATGTGTGTATATGGCTTAAGGTTCCCCTGAAGTTCCACAATAACAGTTTTAAACTTAATAAAATAAAATTTTACATCGGCAAGGAACACTTGTGCCAAAGCAATTTATTCGGTTAAACTAAGGTTTTGATTTAAACTCCTGGAGTAATATTGTTTAAATTACACTATTACGCGGGGTGCATGTTTTCTTCTTGCTTGAATTTTCCTTTCCCAACACAACTTCCTTTGTTAGAAACAAATAGTGTATGTGAATTTATAGAAATTGTCCCACTCCATAGATAGCAATATATAAATGGAAAAGTAAATAGACTTTTGATTTTTTTTACTTGTTTACTAGAAGTAAAATACAATGTGTTATATCCACCCCCCCCCCCCACCCCTCCTTGGCAAAAATCGTGTTCAGAAAAAATGAACCATTATACTTTTACGCTTTTTAATTGAGTTTTCTTCAAAGTTACAAAAAACTTCAATTTGGCAAGGATAGAAAGTGTTTAAATTTTTCTTCATAAATATGAAAATTGAGATCAATACAATCCATTTCCAAGAAATTCAGGTACTTTTAGGGGGAAAGTTATGACTTAAACTTCTTTTTGCAAAAAATCAAACCTTGCAAAAAAATCAAACCATCCCAACTATTTATTCCCCAAAAATATAACATGCAGAAATATCCATTTTTGAATGATCACCTTACTGACAGAGGATGCAGGAGTTGCAGAGGACGAAGATACTCTATAAGCTAGATCTCTAAACTCAAGGAACTTTTCCTCGCAACTAAACCTGAATATGTCAAACTAAAATATATATAGATGTGGAGGAAGAAGAGTGAGCCACCCCCCATGCTTCCTTTAACTGGTAAATACTCGACATAAATCAAAGTGCATTTAACAAGTCAGAGTACGATGCTGGGTAAACAGAAGAAGAGGAAACGGAACCTCGAAGTTTTCTGACCTGACGAGATGATTTTATGTGCGACGCGATTTAGCGGTTTTCAAATTTAATCAAATTTTAGATTAAGAAAACCGAAAAGGTAAGAAGACCTCCCCCCGGTCGTTTCATTAGGGTTTTAATTTATAATTTCTAACTAATTAAATACTAGTTTTTAAAGATCGATTTTTGCAGGGGGGGGGGGGGGCGGGGATATTACATTATGATACTTTTAACGAACAATTCTTTAATTTTCCACATGGTCATCAAAACTTTTTTAACATTTTGAAAAAAATTCCGGATAACAAATACCCCTGTTTCCCAGATAGGTCAAGAATGTACAAGAACCATAGATAAAGAGGAAAATGTTTCTATCGTAAATTTTTATTCATTCATATAAAAGATATTTAATATTTTGGTCAAAAACTCTAGAGCTTTTTTCTTCTAGGTCGGTTTGCAGTGCCTCATTTTTATGGGTATAAAGTTTCTTAATATGGATTCCCGCTGGTTTCAACAGATATCATACTGGGCTGTTGTGATCTTAACAGTACTTCAGTCCAAAAGAAGAATGCATTGAGTAGTTGATTAACTAATAAAAGTGGATAAAAATTAATTTCCCGTGAAAAGATTAATTTTTAGAGATGAATTAAAACAAAGATTATCTGGTATAGGAGGAAAGCTTTAGAAATTAACCGGTTTATCGGTTTATGTTAAAAGAAAAATTAGAGAAAGGAGCCGAATTTAAATCCGTATAAACCCTTGTTTCATCTGTGGACAACAAACATGGGAAAGTTTCGGGTGGCATGGTGAAAGGCGGGGGTTGGGATGATTATGATGAGACATATATTTAACAAACATTACAGCTACATATTAAAAGAAAATTTACAATTAAACGACGTTTAAAATTAATTCTCTCAGTACTTGCTCCTCGATTCCTTTTCCTATACTTGCTCCATTATTTCTCTCCATGATTCCTCTTTCTGTATTTGCTCGCATATACCTCTCTCTGGGTCCTCCCCTTTCCTTGCTCCCTTATACCTTTCCCCGTACTTGGTCCCTGGTTCCTCTCCATGTACTTTCTCCCTTATTCATCTCCCTGTAATTGCTCCCTGGTTTCTCTTCCTATACTTGCTCCCTGGTTCCTCTCTCTGTACTTACTCCCAGGTTCCTCTCTCTATACTTGCTCCCTGGTTCCACTCCCTGTATTTGCTCCCTGGTTCCCCTCTCTATAGTTTCTTACTGATTCCTCTCTCTATACTTGCTCCCTGGTTTCACTCCCTGTATTTGCTCCCTGGTTCCTCTCTCTATACTTTCTCCCTGGTTCCTCTCTCTACTTGCTTCCTGGTTCCACTCCTTGTATTTGCTCCCTGGTTCCTCTCTCTGTACTTTCTCCCTGGTTCCTCTCCATGTTCTTATTCTCTGATTCTTCTCCATATACTAGCTTCTAGGATCCTCTATGTGTATACTTGCTTCCTAGTTTCTCTGCCTTTACTTTCTCCCTGATTCCTCTCCCTATACTTGCTCTCTGATTTCTCTCCCTGTACTCTGGCTCCTCTCCCTATACTTGCTCCATGGTTCCTTTCCTTACACAATATTTACTCCCTAGTTCCTCTCCCTGTACATGCTTCCTCATTTCTCTTCCTTTACTTGCTCGCTGAAAATAACGATAAAATAAGCTTAGGATTTTATCAATCGAACTTTTATAATTCTTTGATCAATCTCACATTCTAATAACTGCAATATCATTGTAAGCAGAAAACTAAAATAAAATCTTTAAACTTCAAAACGCTGACAGGCCCTGCTGATTACTTTCGGCTGTGTATTCTTTGACCACAAAAGAAAAGGACAACAAGAAACTCTAAGTTTAGAGTATTTATTGAAAGAACAGTAGGAAATTTTGAGAAACACTGAACAGTTTTATAACAATAGTCAGACACTTTCCTTACTGATTGAAAAGAATTAAATGTTTAGCGGATCTTAACATGGAAAAGATCTTAAGAATAGATTGTTAGGTTAAGCTGGGTTTGTTGAGAGGAGGGAAGTATTCAGAGTTATCAGGGGGGTTTAAAGCTGGTCGTAATATTTCAAAGAACTTGAAATCTTTTTAATAAACCGGTAGGGCACACGGGTTTCTTCTTGCTTTTTGTTTTTAAGTAAAACGTTATAGAACGATTATAGAACTGGAAACATGAACACACCTTTATCACTTTTTGTAAATATTTTTTAGAAACCTTGCAATATTTTTTACACGTTCTAAACCCTGAACTTAACGGGAATATTTTCAGCAATATCGATTGGTAAAAAATCCCTTAAACATTTAACAGCATTAACAATGCTCAGACCTACAAAATTTCGCAGGCCCGATCTAAGCCGAAATCCCAAAAATATCAATAAACTTATTATTTCAAGAATTGAGACCTAAAAAAGAACTTCACACAATAATTTTAAAACATGTGATTTTTCAGTATTTCGAAATGATCATCTAGACAAATGAAGTCAATTCTTTTTTTCTTGACAACCTGTACTCGTTGCAGAAAACTCCTCCCCCAGTATTAGAACGTCGGTGTAGAGAATGATGGGTTGCCTATATAGGGACATAAATACCCGTACACACAAACACATTCCTAGCGCACATAAGCTCTACCTTACATCCAATACATATATAAACATCTTAAAATACTAACACATTAAGTTAAGATTCTCCCCTCCTCACACCTTACTTTCTCGCTACCCCCACCCCCTTCCCCCCATTCCTCAAATTATCAAACACTCACAACAAAAACAAAATCAGAAATTTCTTGACAATTTTTTTGGGGGGGGGCCTGGAGTTAAAGTTAACGCGAAAATTATACATCATTTGGTATTTTTTGTTCATTTTTATTCAGGGGTAAATTAACGATTATTAAGATAATTTTTTATTTATATCTCTGAACTTAACCCTGTATTTATCTCGTTGATGCATATCAATTCCTTCAAAATACTATTCAATTGAACAAGTCAAAACAAGAGTTGCTGTGAAATTTTATTTATCAGAATTTTTGAAGGAATAACAATTACCATTTTTTGTTTATGATCCACAATAAAAATCCCCCTACATGTATTTTTTCGATTTAAAAAAACATTTTAATAAGACAACTCTTAAGCCCTCATTAGCTTGTTTTTTTTTAAACACGGCAGGGTATTTTTTCACCATACCAGCACTGTATAGACATCTACTACCCTAAATCTACACTATATTATCTAAAGTCTACTTATCTAACGTCAAAAATCTACCTAAATTTTATCTACTACCTAGTATCTTCCTAAAATTTATCTACTAAATAACATCTCCTACCTAGTATCTTCCTAAAATTTTTCTACTAAATAACATCTCCTACCTAGTATCTTCCTAAAATTTTTCTACTAAATAACATCTCCTACCTAGTATCTTCCTAAAATCTATCTACTACCTAACGTTTAATACCTAGTATCTTCGTAAAAAATATCTAATACCTAACGTTTACTACCTAGTATCTTCCTAAAATCTATCTAATACCTAACGTTTACTACATAGCATCTTCCTAAAATATATCTACTACTTAACATTTACTAACTAGTATCTTCCAAAAATCTAACCTACCTTATTTAAAATCTACCACCTAATGTCAACTAATCTAACTTAAATCTATCCGACACCACTTAAAACCTTAACATTTTCAGCAAATTTATATCTTGCTCCAATTTTGAAACTGAAGTCTGCAGATTACATTCCACATTTTCCGGGTTGCTTTCCGGTTTTGTTATTTTGAAAACTATCAAGAACATTTTTTTGATTTGGAAATAATCAAGAATAATTTTATTTTGTAATTTTGGAAAAATGTTTCCTGATTTTTTTACAGGTAAAATATATTCTAATCCTTGCTTTCCTTCTTTCTTCTGAATGCATCTGGATGAATTCTTTTTAAAATCCACAAATTAATAAATTTAATTCTAAATGAGTTTAGTTACCATGGACTCTCATCACTCAACAAGTTGCTTGATCAAATCATGAACTGGATTTTATCAGCTTTAATTTATGCAGGGATTTATTTTTCCTCTCGCGGAGAAAATTTCCATATTTTTTTTTAGAAATTTCCAAACAGAAGTCTTTGAAAATTTGAAAACTAGGTTCACTCAATGTAAATAAAAAAAAAATTCTAATAGAATATTAGGATGTTTAAGTTTAGATTAATGCATTTCAAATCTATTTTATTTGATGTTAGTATCCGTTGCACCAAAATGCAAAACTGAGCTAAAATAATCTCCTGCTTAATATGTACTTATCAGCAAATCAACATTTGCATTTTCACACCAAAAGTTGGCTGAAAGAAAAATTTATTAATATTAATATTTATTAAAAAATAGTTCAATTAGTATGGTTGAAGAAATTATGGTAAAAAGCATCAGAAATCCCACATAAGGGAGGATCTTGAATGATTCAAAATTTAAAAATTGTAGCGCGAAAACATCAGAAATTTCATGTTTGCAACAATATATCAAGTTTGATGTTAACAAACCAAAATATGGAAATTGTGGAAAGCAACCTAAAAAATCGAGTTTTTTAGTTGAAATAAATATAATCTTAAAACGACTGACCAGTAAAAGAGCTTGGGAGGAAAAAGAAACTAAAATCCAGAAAGTTGCAAGAAGGAAACTTTTATCTAAGAACTTGAATAAAACAAATTCTAGAAATCGTTAAATTCATGTGATTAATAATTTTGATTTAAAACTCCAATCTTTGATCTGTGTCAACTTTATCATAAACTAGCTTGGGATCTCAGCGTCACCTGGAAATTAAACTTTTGGTCAACCTACTCAACTTTGAACATTTCCGG